TTTTATTGAGATTGTTATGGGTTTTGAACCCTCGAATACAAAATACAGTTTGGGTTTGGAACCCTTTACCTATTCATCGCCATTAGCGTAGGCTCTTGAGTTCTCTAGGCTTCTCCTATTCTTTCTTGTAACGATTTGTTTAGCTCTCAATTTCTTTCTCTCTCTCTCTCTGATCTTTTCACTTCTGATTCTCCTCCCCCGTCTTGTGTGATGGTCCTCATATTTATGAAGGGCCATCAGGTGATAGGAATGTTTCATCTTCAATTTAAATTTTAAATTGAATGATATTTGAATTTCAAATTGGATGATAGCGCCATTTAAATTTTGAATAATAGCGCTATCTGATTAATTGTATATCTGATTAACCGGATTGATCTTTGGGGTTTCATCTTGTGTGGTGTCCTTACTGTAGGCTCTACAGGTGTCATCTTTCATAGGCTCCACGTGTCATTTGAGCATCTTGAATAACGTCGTTAAGATACGACGTTATTTTATTTATACACTTCAACGGAGCAAGTTAATCATTTTGGGAAGTGATTGCCTACAACAATCTTATCGTAGGCTCTATGTGTGTCATTGACTGTATTTGAAATTTAAACTTAAATTTGGTTTGAAATTTATGTGCCAACAACCACAGTTTTAGCCAAAATGTAGAAACGTGTTTTGAAAACACGTTTTCAATACAAAACCACGCTCAACTTTCAATTCATCAAACACACACAAACACTCTCTCTCCCTCTGACAACCCCACGCACAAACATCACTCACACTCAATATATATATATATATATTTTTTTTTAATATATATATAAATTTTATTTCATAAAATTGAAACTAATGTTAAATGTATATAATAATAATTTATAATAATAAATAATAATCAACTATATAAAATAATTATTTTTTATTTTAATTCTTAATTTTTTTTAATTTTATTGTTCAGGGATAAAATTTATTTATTTTTATTTTAGGGTTTAGATTTATAAAAAAAATAAATTTTAAGAATTAAATTCTAAATTCTAAACCCTAAATTCTAAACTCTAAAATAAAAATAAATAAATTTTAAGAATTAAACCCTAAACCTTAAAATAAAAAAATAAAAAATTTTATCCCTAAACACTAAGGTAGCGTTTGGTAACATTTATGTTTTTGGTTTATGTTTACAAAAATTTTATAAACTAGTTTCTATTTCTTTTTAGAAAAACATAAATTACAAATGTGTTTGGTTTGAACAAAATGTTTAAAAAAAATTTAAAACATAAACTAAAAATATGTTTGTTCAAGCCTAAAATATTAATATTTATACTTATTATTTATGATAGTGGGATCACACATATTATAATTGAAAAACATTAATTAAAAAAATAATTGAAAAAAATTAATTGGAAAAAACGTGATTTGTAAAAATTATTGAAAAAAAATTAATTGGAAAAAACGTGGTTTGTAAAAATTATTGAAAAAAATTTAATTAGAAAAAATTTAATTGAAAAAAATTATTTGAGGAAAAAACGTAAACTCAAAAAATGAGTTTACGGTTTCAATTTTCAAAAAAAAATTTCAAATAAATTTTTTTGAAAAGTAATTTTTTTTTAATTAATTTTTTTTTCAATTATTTTTTTAATTATTTTTTTTTTCAAATATTTTTTTTTCAATTTTTTTTAATAATTTTTACAAACCACGTTTTTTCCAATTAATTTTTACAAACCACGTTTTTTTTCAATTTTTTTTAATTAATTTTTTTCAATTATAATATGTGTGATCCCACTGTCATAAATAATAAGTATAAATATAAATATTTTGGACTTGAACAAACATATTTTTAGTTTATGTTTTAAATTTTTTTTAAACATTTTGTTCAAACCAAACACTTTTGTAATTTATGTTTTTCTAAAAATAAAAAGAAACCAGTTTATAAAATTTTATAAACATAAACCAAAAACGTAAATGTTATCAAACGCTACCTTAGTGTTTAGGGATAAATTTTTATTTTATTTTATTTTAAGGTTTAGGGTTTAATTCTTAAAATTTATTTATTTTTATTTTAGAGTTTAGAATTTAGGGTTTAGAATTTAGAATATATTAATATATATATATATATTGAGTGTGAGTGATGTTTGTGCGTGGGGTTGTTAGAGGGAGAGAGAGTGTTTGTGTGTGTTTGATGAATTGAAAGCTGAGCGTGGTTTTGTGTTGAAAACGTGTTTTCAAAACACGTTTCTACATTTTGGCTAAAATCGTGGTTTAGAACAGCGAGTTCAAATGAATTTTTTTTTTGGATAAAAGCGTGGTTTGGAACAGCGAGTTCAAAAGAAAAAAAAAATTAATTAAAAGCGCCTTTTGTAACCGCGATTTCTTAATAAAAAGCGCGTTTTGTAACCACGATTTTAAGACTTCCCAAATTTCATGTGAGACAGGCGTATATATGTTGAAATCGTGGTTGTGAACCACGATTTAGCCTATTTTGGGAATTCTTTCAAAATTAGGCTTAGTTTGGGAATTGATTTAGTATTTTGACTTATTTAGGGAAATGCCCCACTAGTAGCAGAGAGGATGCAATGATAGTGGAGACGGAAATTGAGGGAATGCGTTGATAGCGGTGGCAAAACGGCACACCTAGGGTTTAGATTGAGAAGAGAGAGAGAGAGTCAAATGGTTTCTTTTGGGGAGGTTGGGTTTGATTGGTATATATATATAATAATCCTTGGTAGCTTGAGAAACGTTTGGCCCAAATTGGATCGAATACCCACAACGACGTTGTTTTGGAATTTTTTTTTTATTTTTGTTCCCTTTCCCTCTTAAAGCATCTCCAACGGTTTACTAAATTTTTTACCAAATCTGAGTAAAAAAATCACCATTTTCCCAATTTGGTAACAGATGCTCCAACAGTTCACCTTTCACCAAATTTGTCCTGGGATAACTGGTTGGTTGACTGGCCGGTCGATCAGCTGGTCGACCGGTGAGGGAAATTTTTTTTTTGAATTGTTTGAACCAGAAATGTTGAATTGTTTGAACTCTTTCCGGGACAACCGGTTGGTCGACCAGTAAGCCAAAATATTTTTTTTTGAATTGTTTGAACCAGAAATGTTGAACTGTTTGAACTTTTTCATGGAAAACCGGTTGGTCAACCGGCTGGTCGACCGGTTCGTCTCCCCCAACGGTCATGTACAGTGTTTTGGTGAAATGCGAAGCCTGTTATCAGTTTGATGAATCGTTTGGTGAAATCTCATTTTGATATCGATTTGGTGCAACCGTTGGAGCAGCAAACAGTAACTTTTTCATCAAAATTTAAATTTGATATCAAGTTTGGTGAACCGTTGGAGATGGTCTTATATGGTTGAAAACAAATTGAGGAAACAGAGGGCGGAAGAGAGAGAAGAGAAAAGAAAAGAAAGAGAGAGGAAGAAAGAAGAGGGAGAGGGAATAGAAAGAGCACTATCACCGACACCGCCATCCTCTGTGTATACACAGATCTACAGATCTATGTACCTCTCTCTCTCTCGGTGTGTATCTCTCTCTCTCTGTGTATCAGTGTGTGTTGTTAATGATGATGATGATGTGTTGTTGATGATTGGTAGTGGGTTTGATTTTTGAGTTTAATTTTTGGGTTTGATTGGTAGATTGCTTCAATTTTGTGATGGTTGTGATGGGTTTGGTAGGTTTTAGAGAAAGAAAGTAGAGGAATAAGAAGATGAATGAGGTTTTGGATTTGTGTGGAGGACGATGATGAGGCGTTGATGATCATGATGTGTTGTTGATGATTGGTAGTGGGTTTGATTTTTGGTTTTGATTTTTGAGTTTAATTTTTGGGTTTGATTAGTAGATTGCTTCAATTTTGTGATGGGTTATGATGGGTTTGGTAGGTTTTAGAGAAAGAAAGTAGAGGAAGAAGAAGATGAAGGAGGTTTTGGGTTTGATGTTCTGTTTATTAGATGTTGGTTTAGAATTGTTTGAGATAGAAAAGAGAGGGGGAAGGAAGACGAAGATCAAGAAAAAAAAAAAAGAAAAAAAAAGGGCAAAACGATGTCGTTTTGCATTTTCGAGCCATTCGGGGTAACGAGTTTCGAGCTATCCAACAGAACTGATATATATATATATATATATGAGCATTTTGACCATTTTACTTCAGCATGTCGTTATGGACAAATTATTTCTACGTCTGAACCTTTGACTGAAAAAAAATATAATCTCGGACTTTTGACATAAACACCCTAAAAATTATTGAAAAATATAATTTGATTAGGTTAGACTGAACCGAGGTTGAACTTGTTTCTAAACTCGGCCCATATATAAGTAGGCATTTACCCAGGATTCGGATCCTCTCCTTTATTTCTCTTCTTAACTCCCTACTTATTGGGTCATTGGGTTCACTTTTAGGTCAAATTTCAATAAGTTAAACCGTTCATATTTAAAGATTTATTGAGTATATAAAAAATCAAGTTGATCGGATATCAGAAAGCATGTATTCGGAAAATTGTTTATTAGATTTTTTTAAAAAAATGTTTGTACTTTGATGATCCAAACACGTAATTTCTGATATCCGATTAATTTGATTTTTTACAAGTATAATATAGTTAACAAATCTTAAATTTTAACGGTTTGAATTATAAAAATCAACAATGATACAACCCTCTAAATCAAGGAGCTCTAATGAAATGGAAAGTAAAAAAGAAAAACACACACACACATAAGACATAAACATCACTATCACAACAGGACTCACACCCATTAGAGCTATTAGAACTCTATTATTAGAATTCTAAAATATTTTTATATTAAAATTGAGACCAAAAATAAACTCAATAACTTAAAAAGTAGGGAATTAAGGAGAGAAATGGAAGAGACGATCGTAATTCATTTACCCAACCCTAATAATTCTGAATTAGGATGCTCTTGTTAAGGTTCTTACTTGACATCCTATATTTGCTGGGCCATTGGGCCAATTTTTAAGTCAAATTTTAATAATTCGAATTATTCACATTTTTAAGATTTATTAAATATATTCTCGTTGTGAAAAATTAAGTTGATCTTTGTTAAGAAACAATTGGCAGCCTAAAACCACTCCAGAGGAATTCATCGCAGAGGATTCACACCTCCAACATCTCAATTCGACGCTTTACCTTCTTTCCCAACTGGCTGTTGAAGAGAGATCTGTGAAAAAGCTCGGTGTATATTTTTGTCTCCAATCCAATCTCCTTCCGCTATGCACATCAATGGATCGAGTTCTCAAAGCTGCAAGAGCCTCCGGTTCTCTCAACCTATCAAACCGTTCTCTCAAGTGAGATCCCTAATTTATCTCAAATTAACAGTGCTTGATTTGCATTATGATCACTGAGTTCTTTTTTGGATGTTTTGATTTTTTTATTATCGTATTTGCAAAAAGTTTAATTTTTGTTGGTTTGTTTGTTATTGCTTTTGGATTACAATATTTTTGTTTTTCATAGTTGTCAATTCATTTTTTTTATACTGCATATGCAACTTGGGTGATATGACTAGGCAAATTACTCATCCAAGAACCAAAGTAACAGGGAAAATTGAAGGTTTCTCTAATTTTTCTGTGATATAGCGAATTGCGTGTAAATTGGCGGTATGGTTGTAGTTAACACTACTAGGAATTGTATCTCAAAGTGTTCGGAAGTTTCATTATTATTTTGTAGGAATTAGAATGGATCTTTTTTGTTTGAATATTTATAATTAATGGCAATGTCAATGCAAGACTCACATTGTAAGAGACTGACTATTAGGTTAAGGAATAGGCAGATTGGATGAGAGCATAGTTGTCAAATTGGGATTCGAATCGTGAATCGAAATGATATTGTATCAAATCACGAATCGAATCATAAAATTCGGTCACATTTTTTAAATTACATAGAAAATATATTTATACACTTAGATATTAAATATATCTAATAAATATGAAATATTTAGGAGTTGTCTGGGAAGTGCTAAATTAGTATATCTTTTGACTTTTTACTAAAAAACGTGAAATATGGGTTGAGTTTGAAGTGATGTGATAGAGAGGTGATGTGACTTAAAGAAGATAATTGTGACCTAAATAGGATAATGTGCTAAAATAATATATGTGCTATTTTGGCACATGTCAAACAACCACTTAGACTTAAATCAATAAAAATATTGTTCTAAATGATGATCATGTAGTCTAGGTAAGAAGTTAACACGGGTTTTCATATTTACCACTTCACATTTTTCCTGTTAGATACTATTTCTTATCAACCATTTTTAATAAAGAAAGCAAACAAAGATAAACTTTTAATCATGTTGTAACTGCAAGTATTTAGATAAAATTGAATATGTAAGGCTAGAATATTGTAGAGAGAGAAAGTTCATTTTTTTCCAGCTAAGTTTTAAGTATTTGAGAGTGGATGAGAGGGTCTGAGGGTATCGGAAGAAAATTCGAAGGTCGCCAAAAACTTTGAATCTTTAAGAAATGATGAGAGGCTTAGATTCTCCAACAGCTGTAACTAGAAACACAATAGCAAAGAGATGATGAAGATAAGAGATTCGGTGAAGAAGAAGGCAAAGTAGTTAGAGAGAGAATAATGGCAAGGCTCTCCTATGATCTCCCACTTTTACTCTTAAGGTAGATAATGGAGAAGGGAAATTAATTCTCTCCTAAAAATTGTCTCTCCAAAACTCACTCCTTGTAAAGTTATAGGTGGGTGCTATTTATAGGGACCTCATGATTTAAAATGGAGCCCATGTGCAAGGCACACGGGGAATATTCTCTCTAACTACTTTATTTGAGGAAGTGACCTCTTCAAGAATGAGAAAAATTCCAAAGAGGAGATTAACTTCTTGGCGAACCTTTCTTCTTAACCACGCCTAACAAATGATCCCCAATCATCTTAAAGGGTCAGGGCTAGTCCCAGAGGACGCCCTATCGCAAAAGGGTCAAGGGTGTATCAAGAGAACGTCCTGCCGCATACATTGTCGAGTCTCAAGGACCCCCTAGATCGTGCTACCTCAACCTGGGTATAGGCTAGTTTAATCGAAGAGTGAATTTATCTCTACTCATTGTCCTTGGGATCGGGTCCTTTGTTCGCACTCCGTCATGCCCATGGTTCTGGTGCGTTAATCCCAAAAAGCTCTGAGCCCACAAGTGTTCTGGGACTCATTAACGGAGCGACTTCTAGATTGCGTTCGAATCTGTTCGAAGCCAAGCGCTTCAGATCTCCAGGTTTGTAGATTTGAATCCTTTTGAGTTCGAACTCCAATAGGTTTCTAGGTTCGTGGTTTTAAACTCTTTCGAAACTAAGCAAATATCTCGGAGAATGGACCTTCTCTGATGGTTCTACCTTTTTCGAAAGCAACGATTAACCTTCTTAGACACCCGTATGATCTGGACCTTTTCGGATGGGTTTGTTGGACTTTTTTTAGAGATATAAGCTCAATGGGTCTTCCTCAGCCCAATTTATTGACTTTCTCGCGGGTCTATTCAATAGAATTCATTTGGAGTCATTTGATGATAATTTGTCTAGATCTATTAATTTTTGGGCTTTCCGATTGGACCCAATTAATTTAATGAACTCAAGTTAACCCCTCTTATATTTTGCCCCTCTACATGTATGGGAAATTTTGAATTTCTCGGACATGTATATTTTCACTTCTTCGGCCATGCTTCGTTTCACTCCCTCGGGCATGTCTTGTCTCATTCCCTGTGACATATTTTGTCTTCATGTGGCTTATGGATAAGATTGACAACTCATCATGATTTATGGATAAGGTTGACAACTAATAAAGATAAGAAAGAATCTTTTTTGTTCTTATGCCATGTTTGGCAAACACACTTTTTGTACCCTTTAATTTGTTTCTTCAAAGAAAATTAAAACTGATTTTATATATTATTTATTTATTTTTTTAATGTTCCACCAACTAATAATACCAAGAATTAAATTTTTTCTCTCCTGGAAATAAACAAAACCCCAAACTTAGCTTTTTGCTGAGAAATCAAAATTCTAAGGACCCATTTTCGTTTTTTAGAAAAGTGAAACTCTTTTTTTTTTTACTAAATAATTAAATAGTCAAGCTCTGTTATTTAATTCCTCAACCACGTGGATAATTCCAAATCGTTTCATTCTTCTAGAATGTTGAAAGAAACATTTTTTCACTCCAGGTCAAAGAAAATCAATAAACCCATTTTTATATTTGGGAACAGGTGAAGCCTATATTTTTTTTCTCTCTAAAATATTAAAGACCTATATCCTTCAATGCTTTTTCCTTATTTAGAACAATAGATTAGTTCTCTGCCTTTCTTCTGCAATCATCACTGAAGGCCACCACCTCCTGACTTTGTGCTTTTTTTATTTTTTATTTTTATGCTTTGGTTGAGCTGTCGTTGCCCTTTGTCGTAGCTCCATCGCAACACTGGTTTGTCTAAGGTCATTTAGCACCCGTCAACCTACACGAGAGCCAATTGCGGCCCTGCCCCGCCCTGTGCGCTTGACCACTCAGCTCGCGCAACCTGCGCACTTCACTGCAGCAATGTCAGATACGCCGGAGCTTGGTTTTGCTTCCATGATTGCCAAAGGCCACTGCTGTTGGTGTGCCGCCTGTCACTTCAGTCCCGGACACTGCCGACATCACGACCCAAGTTGCCGCTAGCTGTTGCTTGCTGTAGCTTCGTGCTGCTCCCTCTGCGCTGTCTCTTGTCGATTTCAGTCTGTATTGCTTTGTCGACTTCGGACCACACTAGTGCTCCATTTGTGTTACTTGCTTACTTTCCCACCAGAAAGGATTTTTCTCGTCAAAGTAGGGTGTGTGCTTCTACTTGGAGTTTCGAGGGACAACCCTTGCTTTCGTTCGGACTTCTGAGGGACAATCTTTACTTCCATTAGTGCGAGTTTAGTAGACTCGGTTGCCCGCCAAAAAGGATCTTTCTTGCCAAAGTAGGGTGTTTGCTACTACTTGGACTTCCGAGGGATAACCCTTGCTTCTGTTTGGACTTCCGAAGGACAACCCTTGCTCCTATTGGTGCGAGTTTCGAGGGCATTTGAGTTGTGGACTTTCGAGGGACAACCCTTGCTTTCGTTAGCAAGAGCTTTGAGGATCTTTCTTGCTAAATTAGAGTGTGTACTTTCATTTGAACTTCCGAAGAATAGCCCTCGTCTCCATTGGTGTGAGTTTCAAGGGCCCTAAGGTGGTGGACTTCTTATGGGAAGCGAGTTTCGAGGGCCCCGAGGTGATGTACTTCTTATGGGAAGCTATTTAGCTGAAATAATAAAACCAACAAGCAATGAGGACAATATCAAATTTAGATTATCGGAATTGGGTAAACATCAAACAAATGCATCAATAATTCATTTCCTCGGGTATCCACAAGATCAACAAAACAATAACATATGGTCCTATTCTATACTATGGCTTTTCATTCTTTCAAGCAAAGTGTTCACGAAGTTCAACTATTAGGAATTCATTCCATAAGTATATAAGATTCAAGTATAGGGCTAAAAATCTTAGCTTTGGGTTATGTTTATTTCCTAGAGAGAGAAAGAATTAATTCTTGGTATTATTGGTTGATGGAACATTAAAAAAAAAAAAAGTAGTTTTAATTTTCTTTGAGGAAACAAATTAAAGGGTACATAAAGTGTTTGTCAAACACGGCATAAGGACAAAAAAGATTTCTTCTTATCTTTATTAGTTGTCAACTTTATCCATAAATCATGATGAGTCGTCAATCTTATCCATAAACCACATGAAGACAAAACATGTTTGAGGGAATGAGACTAGATATGTCCGAGGGAGTGAAGTGAAGCATGGCCGAAGAATTGAAAATATGCATGTCCGAGAAATTCAAAATTTCCCATACATGCATAGGGGCAAAATGTAAGAGGGTTTAACTTGAGCCCATTAAATTAATTGGGTCCAATTGGAAAGCCCAAAAATTAATGGGTCCAGAGAAATTATCACCAAATGGCTTCAAATGAATTCTATTGAATGGACCCGCAAGAAAGTTAACAAATTGAGCTGAGGAAGACCCATTGAGCTTATATCTTTAGAAAAAGGCTAATAAACCCATCCAAGGATGTCCAGATCATACGGGCATTTGAGAAGGTTAATCATTGCTTTTAGAAGAAATGGAACCCTCGGAGAAGGTCCATTCTCCGAGGTATTTGTTTAGTCTCGAAAGGGTTTGGAACTATGAATGAAGAGACCTATTTGAGCTTGGACTTGAAAGGATTCGGATCTATAAACCTATAGATCCGAAGTGCTTGGCTTCGAACGGAGTCCAAACAAAGGACGGTGTTAGAAAAGAAAGGGATGACAAAAAGTTACATTGATGTGATTAGGGATATGTATGAAGGTGTGGTGACTATTATTAGATCGTCTGTTAGAGAGACGAGTGAATTTCCAATTACTGTACGGTTACACCAAGGATTAACCTTAAGTCCTTATCTTTTCGCTTTAGTTATGGATGAGTTGATGTGCAATATTTAGGATGATGTGCCATGGTGTATGCTTTTTGCAGATGATATCATGTTAGTATATGAGATTAGAGCAGTTAACATTAATTTGGAAATTTAGAAAAAAACACTTGAATCTAAAGAATTTAGGATAAGCAGAACTAAGACAGAGTATATGGAGTGTAATTTTAGTAACAGTCACAATGGAAGCGTAGGAGAAGTGAAAATTGAGAACCAAGAACTATCTAAGAGTGAATATCTTCGTTATTTAGGATCGATTATCACACCGACTGGGAAGATTGGAGCGGATGTGGTCCAAAAAATTAATGCGGGGTGGCTTAAATGGAAGAGTGTGTTTGGAGTATTGTGCGATAAACGAGTATCCATTAGACTAAAAAGGAAGTTCTATAGAACGGCTATGAGACTAGCGATGTTGTATAGGACGGAATGTTGGGCAACTAAGAAACAACATGTAAATAAGATGTGTGTTATTGAGATGAGGATGCTAAGGTGGCTGTGTAATAAGACTAGAAAAGACAGAGTTAGGAATGAGTATATTCAAGTTGGGTAGGAGTAGTACTGATAGAAGATAAGTTGAGAGAGAATAGATTGAGATGATTTGGTCATATACAACGGAGACTAACAAAGGTAGTAGTGAAGAGATGCGATACAGTGATAGTAGATGGTAGTGTTAGGAGAAGGAGTAAACCTAGATTGATGTGAACTAATGTAGTAAATAGAGTATGAATCTTCTTAATTTGACTAACGAAATGGCCTTGGATAGAGTTGAGTGGAGAAGAAGGATTCATACAGCTGACCTCATTTGATTAGACTTAAGGTTTGGTTTGGTTAAACTAGCCCATACCTGGATCAAGGTGGCACGATCTAGGGGGTTCTTGAGACTCGGTAATGTTTGCGGCAGGATGTTCTTTTGAACTACCCTTAACCCTTCTGCGATAGAGTATCCTCTGGGACTACCCCTGATCCTTTGAGATGATTGAGGATCATTGGTTAGGCGTGGCTAAGAAGAAGGGTTCGCCGAGAGGTTGATCTCCTCTTAGGGATTTTTCTCATCCTCGGATAGGTCACTTCCTCAGATAAAGTAGTTAGAGAGAATATTCTTCATGTGCCTTGGGCTTCATCCTAAATCATGAGGTGCCTATAAATAGCACCCACCCATACCTTTACAAGGAGTTGATTTTGGAGAGAAAATTTTTAGGAGAGAACTAATTTTCCTTCTCTATTATCTACCTTGAGAGTGAAAGTGGGAGATCCATGAGAGAGCCTTACCATTATTCTCTCTCTAAGTACTTTGCCTTCTTCTTCATCCAATCTCTTATCTTCATCGTCTCTTTGCTATCGTGTTTCTAGTTCCAACCGTTGAAGAATCTAAGCTTCTCATCATTTCTTGAAGATTCGAAGTTTCCAGCGACTTTCAAATTTTTCGGCGACATCCTCGGACTCTCTCATACAGAGAGTAAATAGGGAGGACGAAAGTCAAAAGATGACATGTAGTAGCCCTAAAGACCTTAAAAAGGTTGTGTGAACCTCTTTTCCAACAATAAAAAAACAAAAAAGAAAGTCAAACATCGATTTTAGCAATTCATGATTCACCGATTCACCTACGATTCATAGCTATTTGCGATTCACACAACCTGTTCGTATGGATTACCCACTAAATCGAATCGAATCGTATGATTTGAATCACGAATTGTGTGATTCTAATAACAGAGGATGAGAGTGGTAAGGACTGTGAAAGGAATGAGCCTTGGTAAAGACTGTAAAAATTGAGCATCACCAATTTAATGATAGTCAAAAGGGAACATAGATGCCTATTTTTTGCAACTTTTCTAACACTTGGCCACTTCTATATTTTAAATCAGCGACAAAATTGAGGAAGCAGGCTACATATAGATAGAAATAAAATAAAAGTGGAAGCAACCTTAAGTTTTATTATTATTATATAAAATTAGTAAGAAATCAATTTTCACATTCTATATATTGAAAAAGAATCGTGAACAAAAAATCCCAAATCTATTTTAGAAGTATATTTTCATAAATAAATAGGAAGTTTTATGCTTTCGAAATCCTAAAATTGTAAAACCTAAAGGAAGTGAGATTTATAGATGTATATCCACACTATGAATTTAATCATTGGCTCCAAAATTATTTTCTTCAAACTTGCAATATGTTTTATGTACGTCGAAGCAATAGATATTTGTGTACACGAAGTGTATCCAGTGTTATTTATTTTAAAAAAAAAAAATTAGTACAACACGTTTGGACTTGTGTCTCATGAATGTTAATGTCTGACATGGACATGACACCTTCTTGTAAGTTTCGTGCTTCTAAGATTGGTTTTTGGGTGCATTACGTGAAGTGATATTCCCCACTAGGATGCAAATTAATTTTATTGCTTTGCTTTTATAACTTTAAATTTTTATTTCAGGGAAGTGCCCTATGAGGTATACAAAAGCTTGGATGCAGTTGGTGAGGGTGAAAAGTGGTGGGAGGTATTGGTGCCACTGCTTTATGTTCTGTCTCATTTGACCTGCTTAATGCATTTAATAGCTAATTGAGTAGATGAAGTTGCTGTTCTGAATTATGAATAGTGCAGATTAAAGTGCTTTGTTGTATATTTGTAGGCTGTGGAACTACAAAAGCTGATTTTGGCTCATAATGACATTGAATCACTAAGGGAAGACCTCAGAAATTTGCCTTTATTGTCTGTGCTGAACGTTAGCCACAACAAGCTTTCCCACCTTCCAGCTGCTATAGGAGAGTATGTCATTGGGACCTTTTTACCATTTTTATATTTGAAATTACCAAATCTGTCCTGCTTTTGTGCTTTCTCTCTCTCTCTCTCTCTCTCTCTCTCTCTCATTTTGCAACGTTCTGATACTTAATTTTCATTTTACAGGCTTCACATGCTAAAATCATTAGATGTTTCATTTAACTTGTTACTCAATATACCTGAAGAAGTAGGATCAGCAACTTCTCTGGTCAAGTAGGCTTTCTTTACTAATTTTCTCATACTGTCTTTTTTTTTATTTTTTTTTTTTTTTTTTTTTTTAAAAAAAAAAAAAAAAAAAAAATGTAGAAATTAGGTGAGCTTCATATATATGCATAACGAAGATAAGGATGCTGGTACTGTGTTTGTTCCCATTTTGTTTGCTAATGAACATATGGCGCAAGTTATTGAAAATAAAGAACATATGGAGAAATTTTGGTTGCTTTTTGTGGTTGAACAGTTTCGTTTCATTTGGTTGCTCTAGGTTTGATTGTTCAAACAACCAATTAAAGGATCTCCCAGGTTCACTTGGAAGATGTTTAAATTTATCAGAACTCAAGGTGAGGCATAATTCCGATCCAATCTGTCTATTTTATGGCTTTTAGCATGTGATAAATTGATAAACATAGATATTAACTTCTGGATGGACAGAGAACCTATGTGTTGAGCAGCAGCATATGTAATCTGTTGATATATTTCTCATTAGCAACTATTTATTACATAAAAGTTATATCTGAAAATTGTAAGCGAAGTATAGATTTCAGCTGTTATTGAAGAGAATCTTATTGTATCTGGTAAAATTTGACCTATACCTGTAAAATTGAGCTGCACTAAGTTGATCTGAATAGCTTTTGCTTGCAACCACTTAACTCATTCACGTGCTTTTGGTACTCCGAAGATTTGTATTTTTTGAATAAAGTTATTCTAAACAATGTGGTCAAAATTTTGACTTTGCAAGTTTTTGGTTGACTGGAATTGAGTTGGCCTGAATCAGCTGTAAATCAATTCATAGCTTTAAAGCATCAGGTCACTTTATTTAGTATTGAATTTTTTTTTTGGTATGGGTCTGGTTGGGATTTTGAAAGCTGGACAAGAATGGACTCTTGAATTGTGAGAACTAAAAACTATGCATTATTGGTTTCTCCAATAAATAAGAAAATGGTAATAACTTTATCTAGTTTGTATTCTTTTTCAGGTCAGAAGGTTTATTTTAGAAGTTTTTGTGTTTTTTTCCTTACTATGTGTTTTAGTTCACAAATCATGACGGGTTAACTGGTTATTTTCAAATGACAGGGAGTTATGTGCACATTATCTGTACTACAGAGAAAAAAATCATCACCAATTCTATGAGTTATGTTCACAAGTTGATTATCTAGGAAATTTGCCCTTAATTCTATGAGTAACTAACATCATCACCAATCTCTCTTACCATGTATACTTGTCCTAGATAATCAACTTGTGAGGTCACGAACTCTTTCTATGAAAAAAATGGAACTGCTTATGGTGTATCTTTTGGTTGGATGCAAGAACGAAATTGAAAAAGATTGTCAAAGGATCCACGAAGTCTTTATAAATAAAAAATGCACGTATGACATCTTGTTAGAATTTACCATCACCTACCACCACTACCACCTCACCTACTCCACTAAACCTAACCCACTACACCACTACCACCATCTACTACACCTACATCTATATAAGGAACCATTTGTAATAGACAGTATATCAATCAATATCAATCAATAATACATTGAATTTTATCATGGTATCAGAGCAAGGTTAAGCACTTAGTATTTTTCGCTTCACCGGCGGGCGGCAACCTTGCCTTGGCCGCCCGCCGGACCTCAACCTATTCCACTAGAATTTTCTATACATACCTTCACTCCGCTGCCACAAATTATTTCTTGATCTTGATCTTCTTGTTGTTGCTGTTGTTGTTGTTGTTCTGCTGCTGTCTCACACGGAGCTTCACCATAGACACGATACACAAAGCTTCATACACAGACAAAGCTTGTCCACTCAATCACTTGCTGGAGAAGATGATGCTACATTGCCACCTTCAAGAACCTCCACATCAACCTCTTTAGTTGCCCAGAGGTATATGGGAAAGTTGATGAACTCGGAATACCTCTTCACCAATTCCTTTAGTTTGCTCTCCTCCAGATATTCTCCAGCTTCTTCTCTGAGATGCAATCTGATTTCAGTTCCACGGCCAAGTGGTTCATTCCATGTATCCTCAGAAATTGCAAATGCCCCACTTGCCCCACATGCCCCAAGATATTTCCCTTTACACAATAACAGCCCCATGTGCTATTTGATCCCTTTTATGACACTTTTTTAATCTTTTTTTTTTCAAATACCCATTTTTATTTTATTATATACTCAACATTCCCATCATTCTTTTCCCCACTCCAATATATTATCCTAGCCTTAATTGATTCCACTGATTTCCCCCACTTCATTTTATTTATTATTATTATTATTATTATTATTATTTTATTTTAAAAAAAAAAAAAAAAAAAAAAAAATTCATTCCATAACATGCATTGTCATGCATCATTGTAAATAGTGCATTGCCATGCATTTCATTGTAAATATTACATTCCATTGCATATTGTATATATTGCATTATAGCTTGCTTGCATTCACTGCATCACCCCCATCTACAGCTTGCGCCTTTCCATGTTGAGCCTGGTCTGGTATGTGCCCGTACTCTTCGCGTTGACGCACGGTTATGATATTATGTGTACGCACCTAGTGTTGAGGGTGACGGCACCGTATCCATGTTAGACGCGGTCTGTATGTATCCATGCCTTTCCTAGGCAAGATACGATAGGTGTGCCCAATTTTGTCAAAAGGCGTGCCATCAAAAGGCGTGCCCAATTCATCAAAAGGTGTGTCGGACATGATGGCGAGGCACGTGAGTGCCTTGGTTGGCGTGCCCGTTTGTCGTCTGGCGGCAAGTGGCGCGCGATACGCGTGGCTGCCTCGGCTATTTAACACAAGACGGAGGCTGAGGCCGAGACAAGAAACTGAGAAAAACCTCTGAAAAAAAAAAAAAACTCTTCGTGTTGCTGAGAGAGATAGTGCGTTTTGCTGAGAGAGATAGTCTGTAACACGCTGTTGCCCAGAAAATGGCCTCGTCCTCGTCTTCCCGTGGACTGCTCACCCTCTTTCCCGACCTCAACGAGTCAACAAGAGAGAGAACTGTGCTGGGTGGCACTGGAATCTCAACCAAGCGCCCCGGAGTTTACTCCGTTGAACTTTCCGATGCGGTCTGTGGAGCAAAGAATGGCAGTGCAGTCGGATGTGGAGGCCAATCAGTATACTTTGAAGGCATGTGTGGAAAGCATGACGGCGGTCACAAACTTGTCAAACCGGCTGCAGAGTAGGACAAATGAGGTGCAGCATTTAAATGCCCAACTGGCTCTGCTCCCAACGCATGTATAGGATGCGCGAGCAGAGATAAGTGTGCTGAAAGCAGAAAATAAGGAGCTGAAGCGGAAGGCCACTGTGATGTTCCGATTTGGAGGTCCGCCGTATGCTGCAGTGGAGGAGCAGGGAGTAGTGATCGTGCCCAGTGGAGTGGGAAACACGGAGGCAACACCAGCAAGGGCTGTCCAGGACGGAGGCAAGAAGAAGAGACCGGCGGAATAGGCGAAGAAGTGAGGTCGAGTGGTGGCCGGCTGCAGAAAAGAAAACAAAGTTGTTGGTTTTTTTTTTTTTTTTTTTTTTTTTTTGGTGTAAAATGGTGAGCGGGGTGAACCCCGACATGAATAAAATAAGGTTGGTGTGCAGTTCTTCCGCTTCTGCATTCGGTTTGGTTTTTTTTTTTTTTTTTTTTTTTTGGAATCAGAAAATATATATTATATATATATATATAGATATATATTCTATAGACTCGAGTGGAAGGAATGATGGGTGTGGGCAACAGCACAGTGTGGGAGATGTGGAGTCTGACAAATAAAAGAAATTTGGTTGTAAACAAATAAAAGAAATTGGTTGTAAAGTAAAGGAAACGTGGGTGTGATAAGTGTGTGAATGGGTGTTGTGTGAAGAATAAAAAAAAAAATAAAGGTGTCTGACATGTGCATGCGTGTGTGATGAGTTGGTTTTTTTTTTTTTTTTTTGTGTTTGTTTTAAATAAAATAATAATAATAATAATAATAATAATAATATAATAATAATAATATAATAATAAATAAAATGAAGTGGGGGAAATCAGTGGAATCAATTAAGGCTAGGATAATATATTGGAGTGGGGAAAAGAATGATGGGAATGTTGAGTATATAATAAAATAAAAATGGGTATTTGAAAAAAAAAGATTAAAAAAGTGTCATAAAAGGGATCAAATAGCACATGGGGCTGTTATTGTGTAAAGGGAAATATCTTGGGGCATGTGGGGCAAGTGGGGCATTTGCAATTTCTGAGGATACATGGAATGAACCACTTGGCCGTGGAACTGAAATCAGATTGCATCTCAGAGAAGAAGCTGGAGAATATCTGGAGGAGAGCAAACTAAAGGAATTGGTGAAGAGGTATTCCGAGTTCATCAACTTTCCCATATACCTCTGGGCAACTAAAGAGGTTGATGTGGAGGTTCTTGAAGGTGGCAATGTAGCATCATTTTCTCCAGCAAGTGATTGAGTGGACAAGCTTTGTCTGTGTATGAAGCTTTGTGTATCGTGTCTATGGTGAAGCTCCGTGTGAGACAGCAGCAGAACACAACAACAACAGCAACAACAAGAAGATCAAGATCAAGAAATAATTTGTGGCAGCGGAGTGAAGGTATGTATAGAAAATTCTAGTGGAATAGGTTGAGGTCCGGCGCGGCCAAGGCAAGGTTGCGCCCGCCGGTGAAGCGAAAAATACTAAGTGCTTAACCTTGCTCTGATACCATGATAAAATTCAATGTATTATTGATTGATATTGATTGATATACTGTCTATTACAAATGGTTCCTTATATAGATGTAGGTGTAGTAGATGGTGGTAGTGGTGTAGTGGGTTAGGTTTAGTGGAGTAGGTGAGGTGGTAGTGGTGGTAGGTGATGGTAAATTCTAACAAGATGTCATACGTGCATTTTTTATTTATAAAGACTTCGTGGATCCTTTGACAATCTTTTTCAATTTCGTTCTTGCATCCAACCAAAAGATACACCATAAGCAGTTCCATTTTTTTCATAGAAAAGATTCGTGACCTCACAAGTTGATTATCTAGGACAAGTATACATGGTAAGAGAGATTGGTGATGATGTTAGTTACTCATAGAATTAAGGGCAAATTTCCTAGATAATCAACTTGTGAACATAACTCATAGAATTGGTGATGATTTTTTTCTCTGTAGTACAGATAATGTGCACATAACTCCCTGTCATTTGAAAATAACCAGTTAACCCGTCATGATTTGTGAACTAAAACACATAGTAAGGAAAAAAACACAAAAACTTCTAAAATAAACCTTCTGACCTGAAAAAGAATACAAACTAGATAAAGTTATTACCATTTTCTTATTTATTGGAGAAACCAATAATGCATAGTTTTAGTTCTCACAATTCAAGAGTCCATTCTTGTCCAGCTTTCAAAATCCCAACCAGACCCATACCAAAAAAAAATTCAATACTAAATAAAGTGACCTGATGCTTTAAAGCTATGAATTGATTTACAGCTGATTCAGGCCAACTCAATTCCAGTCAACCAAAAACTTGCAAAGTCAAAATTTTGACCACATTGTTTAGAATAACTTTATTCAAAAATACAAATCTTCGAGTACCAAAAATCTCCTTCTTTT